ATAAGGAAACATTGCACTTGCACAACACTTTAGGCTGGATGGGCCTTACAGACATATACAGAATATTCATTCCATCCAACAGCAACAGAATACATACTTTTCTCTAGTACATATGCAACATTCCCCAGTATAGATCACATGCTAGGCTACAAGACAAGTCTTAGCACACTTAAGAAGGCTGAAATTATATCAAGTACCGTTTCCAACCACAGTTGGAAAGAAACAGTTTGGTATGAAACTAGAAATCAATTACAGGAGAAATTTTGAAAAATCCATGAATATATGGAAATTAAACAACATGATATGAACAACCAATGGGTCAATGAAGCAATTAAAAGAGATATTTTTACATACCTTTAGAGAAGCAGAAATGGAAACACAACATAGCAAACTTTATGGGATGCAGCCAAAGCAGTTAAGAACAAAGTTTATTGCAACAAATACACCAAAAAAGAAGAAATATTACAAATAAATAACCTAAATTTTAAAAGAACAAGGAAATTTAAAAGGACAAACAAACTAAGCCCAGATTAGTGGAAGGAAAAGAATAAATATCAGAACAAAAATAGAGATTATAAAAACAATGCAAAAGAAACTAAAAGTTTTTTTTAAAAGATAAAGTCAACCAATCTTTAGCTAAACTAAGAAAACAAAAGACGACTCAAATAAAATCAGAGACAAAAAGCAAACATTACAGCTGACACCACAGAAATACAAGAGACTACTATGAACAATTACATGCCAAAAGCTTGAAAAACTCAATAAATAAATTTCTAGACACACGCAACCTACCAAGACTGAATCATGAAGAAACTGAAAATCTGAGCAGACCAATAATGAGTGAGGAGATTGAATCGGTAATAAAAAATCTCCCACCAAAGAAAAACCAAGGACTGGATGGCTTCACTTCTGATTACTGCCAAACATTTAAACATTTAAAGAAGACCTAATACCAAAATTGAAGAGGAGTGAATACTTTCAAACTTTTTTTATGAGGCCAGTATTACCCTAATAAAACCAAAATCAGACAAGGACATTATAAGAAATGAAAACTACAAGCCAGTATTCTCGATGAACATAGATACAAACATCTTTAACCAAATACTATCAAATCAAATTCAATAACATATTAAAAGAATCATTTATCATGATCAAATGGTATTTATCCCTAGGATGTTAAGGATGGTTCAACATTGACAAATCAATAAATGTGACACACCACATTAACAGAATGAAGGGTAAAAATTATATGACCATCTCATTAAATGCAGTAAAAGCATTTGGCAAAGGTTGACATCCTTTCATGATAAGCATTTGACAAAACTTGACATCCTATCATGATAAAAAACACTCAACAAGTTAGTTATAGACGGAGTATACTGCAACACAATAAAAGCCTATATAATAAGCATACAGCTAACATATTCAACAGTACAAAATTGGAACTCTTCTAAGATCAGGAACAAGGATGCACACTCTCACCACTTCTATTCAACATAATATTGGAAATCCTTGCCAGAGCAATAAAGTAAAAGAGATAAAAGCCATCCAAATAGGGGAGGAAGAAATAAAACCATTGCTGTTTGCTGATATAATTTTACATATAGAAAACCCTAGAGTTTTCACCAAAAAGCTATTAGAACTGATAAACAAGTTTAGTAAAGTTGCAAGATGCAAAATCAACATGCAAAAGTCAATAACATTTTATCTATGATAACAATGAACTTTTCAAAAAAGAAATCAAAAGAACAATATCATTTATAATAGCCACCAAAAATAAATAAATACTGAGGAATAAATATAATCAATGAGATGAAAGGCCTGTACGCTGAAAACTATAAAATGTAAGAGAATTTGAAGAAGACAAAAATAAATGAAAAGATATCTTGTGTTCATGGATTAGAAGAATTAATGTTGTTAAAATGTCCATACTATGCAAAAATCTGATATACAGATTCAGTTCAATTCCTATCAAATTTCCAATGTCACTTTTCTTAGATATAGAATAAAATTTTAAAATTCATATGGAATCACAAAAAAGCCAAGATAGCCAAAGCAATCATTAGCAAAAAGAACAAACCTTGAGATATCTCACTACCCAATTTCAAACTATACAACAAAGTGGTAACAATTTTAAAAGCATGGTACTAGCATAAAAGTAGACACATCAATCAACAAACAGAATAGAGAGCCCAGAAATGAACACATGCCACTATAGTCAATTGATTATATAGTCATGCCAAAAATACATGAGAAAAGAATAGTCAATATAATAAATGGTGTTGGGAAAACTGGATATCCATATGCAAGAGAATGAAATTGGACCCTTATCTCACACCATATACAAAAATCAACTCAAAATGGAGTAAAAACATAAACATAAAACCTGGAACTTTAAAACTATTAGAAGAAAACATAGGGGAAAAACTACATGACATTGGTCTAGGCAATCATTTTTAGGTTTAATCCCAAAAGTGCAGGCAACAAATGCAAACAGACAAATGGTATTACATCAAAATTAAAAGTTCTTACACAACAAAATGAGCAACAAACAGAATGAAGAGACACCCCAAAGACTCTGAGAAAATATTTGTAAGTCATCCACCTGATAAGGGATTAAGATTTAAAATATATAAGGAACTCTATAGGAAAAAAATATTTAATTAAGCAATGAAGTATACCTGCATAATGAACATTTGCATACCTAACCCTGAATTGTACCCCACATCTTTAAAATAAAGAATAAATAAATAAATATCACCTGCAACCAAAAAAAGAAAAAAGAAAAAGAAAAGAAATGAGCAGACCTGAATAGACATTTCTCAAAAGAAGACATATGAATGGCTAGGAGATACACGAAAAAATGCTCAACATCGTTGATCGTTAGGAAGATGCAAATTAAAACTGCAATGAGCTATCACTTACAACTGTTAGAATGGCTGTTATTAAAAAGACAAAAGATAACATGTGTTAGCTAGGATATGGAAAAAAGGGAACCCTTGTACCCTGTTGATGGGAATGAAAATTAGTACAGCTATTATATAAAACTCCATAGGAGTTTTTCAAAAAACTAAAAATAGAACTACCATATGATCCACCAATCCTACTTCTGGGTATTTGCCCAGAAGATTTGAAATAAATATTAAAGAGATGAATAGTGAACTCCCATGTTCACTATTCACAATTGCTAAGTTATGGAATCAACAGAAGTATACAGCAACAGATGGATAAATAAAGAAAATGTGGTATATATACACAATGGAATCATAAAAGAATGCAATCCTGTCATTCATAGCATAAAAAAAGAGTGAAATCCTGTCATTTACGGCAACATGGATGAAACTAGAGGACATTATGTTAAGTGAAATAAGCCAGGAACAGAAAGTTAAACACATGTTCTTACATGCCAAAGCTTTAAAAAAAAGTTGATCTCATAGAAGTAAAAAGTAACACAAAGGATACATAGGTGGGATTTGTTGCTAAATGAAATATGCCAAAACAGAAAGACAGATATCTCATGTTCCCACATATATGTGGAATCTAAAACAATTGAGCTCATAGAAGCAGAGAGTAGAATGATAGTTCCCAGATGCTGGGGTTGGGGGAATGGAGAAATGATAGTCCAAGGGTTCAAAGCCTCAGGTTAGATAGGAGAAATAAGTTTGTAAGGTTTTTAAAGATATTTTGCCCAGTGTGGTGAATATAGCTAATAATTGAGCACTGTACCTTTCAACACCACTAAAAGAATAAATTTCAAGTGTTCTTATCACATAAAATAGTAAATATTTGAGGTGATAGATAAAATAATTAGCTCTAGTCATTCACCACTATATTCAAAAATCACATAATCACTTTGTACCCCATAAACATATACAACTATATTATTAGTCAATATGTAACTAAAACATTTTTTTCTTACAAGTCAGTACTGCTACTCATGGTAGTAAATTATGAGTTCAGTTCCTCTAGTAAAAAAAAAAAAAAGACTATGACGTTAAATCTCTTCACCTGGACATATAAAAATTGTCTAATATTTTTTTCTTTAGCGAGGCAGTCTATATTTCTTAAAATATTTATAAACACTATTATAGTCTGTTATATATTAGATACATAAATACTCCACAGGTGCAGCAGATGTGGATTCAGACAGATCAGGCAGTCCTGGGAAAAGGCTATTGTTTTAAATATCAGTTGATGATGATCAGCCTTCTACAGAGTGATTTTCTGAGGAAACGGGAGAAGGCAGAAATATAGATTGGGGAAGAAGATCCAAGGATTCCAGTCATCAGCAGGTAAAGATAGAAAAAGGTAACATTAGCAACAAAATTTGCCCACTATCGCCTTGAGTGAACATTTTCCCCATATCTATTCAGGGCTCAATATCCCTATTATGTATTGATAGTAGGGCAAAACAAATGTTTACATTCTCACAAACGTCTTCCCATAACTCTCCTTCACTTTCCAGCGGAAAGATGTGGCAGGCAGAAAGAAAATAATCTGAGACTTTCTTCCTAGCTTTTGTATTTCAGAAATCTAGACTCAGTGGTCAGAGAAGAAAGGAAGAAGAGAGCTAAAGGGTGAAGATAAATGAAGAAAGTTTATATTTGAGAACACCCATACCCGGATACCAGTTCTTTGGCAAGAAGGCAAGCCTCTTCAATAGCACCTACAGCTTAAAAGAATGGACACAAGTGAAGCCGTGGGAGAAGAAGGTGGTGCCTGCCAAGCCAGCCAGTCACCCCTACAAGCACACCCTTATTCCAAGGGTATAGAAATTGCTGGACAACAGAAGGGCTGACTAGGAGGTCACCTAGGAAATAATATCTTCTAAGTCCCCAATAAAATCCCAGATGTGTCATCAGTTAGAAAATTCAGGACACGTTGATGCCCTGAGGTAAATAGCCCAACCTACCTCTGTGATGTTCACACATATAGCCTTCTGGCTAGGATTGGGGAAGGGATGGTGTAAAATCTACCATTATAAATTGTCATGCACGATTAGGTGCTTAGAAAATATTTATTATGACACTATTCAATATAAACGAAAAAAAGGTGGAGTTTCAAACACAGTCACAGACGGAGTGGCAGGGCTGTATCAGCAGCACCCCAGCAGGCAGAACAAAGCTGGGTCCCATTCTCATTCCCTGTGGCAGCAGGTTCTAGCCCTCAAGACCATTCAGACACCTTCACTGCCATCAGAGGCAAGTTTGTGGAATAGGTAGGGGTGGGAAGAAGGCAGGAATGAGTTCAATAAGGGGTTAAAAATAATCTACTGAAAGTACCAAACCCAAACAATACTTTTTTTTTCTTGTGAGGTACAAATGTGTAGTTTCACAAAACTCCAAACATGCAAAAGATTTTTAAAAAAAGTTTCCCAGGAAATGCAGATCCAAACTTTGAGTATTATGCAAGCAACCGGGAGCCATGCAGAAACTTGTTCAGGGGCCACAGGTTGGTCTCGCCCATGTTGGAGGTGCGCCTCTGGCACTGTTTGCAACGCCGATACTTCTCACATTGGTCCAGGAGAAAGAGCTTGTCTGAAGCCCTGAGGAGAGGAGAGCAAAAGTGACCATTAGCCGGTGTTCCTAGAGTCCCTGCTCATGGCGGTTCACCCCATCCTGTTATCCCTTCTGCCAAAACCCTGCTGTCTCCTCATTCTCCGCTAACAAAAGGCCCCACCTGTGACTTCACAACAGTCTGACTCTCCGCCCCCCTCACCAGTCACACCCACCCAAGGCCACAGAGAACACAAAGTTTGCCCAAGGTCAACAGCTAGCAAACAGTGACTCCGCAGCCTCTGCGTTGGCTGCTTTGCCTGCTTTGCCGTGTCGAGGGACCTCCCCCCTCTGGCTCCTGAGAGCATTTGAGAGGGAGATCAGGTCATTAAGTTGCCCATTAGCAGTTAACAACAGCAAAGAGTTGAGAGTAGACTTGCAATGAAAAGTCCCAGAAGGCCAGAAGCCTCTGGAGAGTTAAGGGCAAGAGAGGGAATTGAGACAAAGAGGACGACAAAAGCAACTAGAAGCTTTGTTATACAAGATAGTTCCTGGTGTGCTCTCCTATCCCATTAAAATGTCTACATGGATAGAATTTATTTCTACAGGAGTATTATAGAAAGCCTTAATTTAAAAGGAAAAAGAATAAACAACCTTGGAAGTGAGAGGGGAAAACCTACCTGGCTTGCCTGAGTAATGGGACTGAGTATCATGTGCTGTACTTGTGAAGCTTGTCTTTGCTTTTTCTTTTTCTTTTTATACCACCAATTCCTTCTTCCGACCTGCTGCCTGTTTCAGTCCCTGCCCACACTTGGCTTAGGTCATTAGGCAACAGATCTTCTCTACCATGTTCCTGGAGCAAATTTGTCAGCCTGCCACTCAAGATTTCCTGTGTCTCCTCTATCCATCACCATGTTGGCCAAGCACTCTTCCTATATCCAACTAAAATCTCCTTGGCATTAATCTCACTGCCTTTTACCTGCTTTCCACAACATTGAGAAAGTAGCTTGAAATCCCAAATCCCCTTTCCCTTGCTCTTGTCTAGGCCGAATGACCCCACTTCTTTGGAACCTACTTTTCACATCATCCTCATACTTTCATTATCACAAAATATGGGTTCTACCCATTAGAAAGACAGGTGAGAAATGCCTTGGAAGAAAGTCTAAATGGAAAAGGAGAATTACAATCAAGATCCATTGTAAACAAATTTATAATAAAAATTAGTTGATAATTGATAATTTAAACTATTATTTTGGTATATTTAGGTTTTGATAATTTGATTGATGTCTGTTTCACCACATTTTTAACATTCTATGAAATCAAACCTTACATTTATAACGAATTTTAATTTTTTTCAATACTTTCCCATCTTTTTATTTGATCCCTAAAATTCCTGTGTTAGGTTGGTCATGCAAGTGTTTAATTTCCTGTTTTACAAATAAGAAAAATAAGACAGAAAGATTAGCTTCTTCTCCAAAGTTAGTGTACATTATCAAAATCAAGACCAGAACCCAGATTCCCTGACTCTAGATTATAATACATAGCTGAGGAGAGGGGGCAGGAATATAATAATAAGTTTCAGAAAGATATTCTTAGTTTTCTTCCTAATGGGAATCTCACTTTACCAATTGTCAGTTTTTACCCACACCCATGACCCTGCTCATAAGGAATGACCATTCCCTAAGCCTTGAAAATGTTCAGATTGGAAACTTTCTCCCTACTTCCAAATAGTTATTTCCAACGAGAATCCCCACGCTCCACAACAAAAAAAAAGAAAAGAATGCCACTCTAAACAGAGGCAAAGATTAGGGCAGAGTTTGTAAACAGATAGCATACAACACAGTATTCTCCAATTCCACGCCCATAACAGACATTTCTAATCAATCACAGCAGTATTTCCCAAGGAAAATACTACTTGCTTTCTCCACAGAGTTATCTAGGCAGCCACTACTAGTCTACTGGTGTTGACACTTGAAACCCATCTGCCATCCTAGGATTAGAGGAAAGTAAACAAGGGTAAACAAGGAACAGGGGGATTTTTTTCCCCCAAAGAACTTTGGGTTCCAATGAGGCATTACCGCTCAAAAGCTTTCTCCTCCAGGTCTCGCTGCTTCTTCATCGCAGCACTCCTTTCCCAGTCCTCCTGTAAGCATTGGTTGATTCTGTTCACTCGCTCCAGCTCAGCAGTTCTGTCTGCCAGGTATCTGGAGAGAAAAGAACAATATGACTCCATTCATAATTCTTGGAAGGGCATGTACCAACCTTGAGAGCCCCATTTCTTTTATGTTAAATAGAAAGCCTTCTGGTTTTATTCACTATTCTTTGAAATGTACTAAAAGACATGAACACTTTAAATGCATAGTAAAATTCCTAGCTCTCAAATAATATATGGGTCTAGGACCTTTCATCTTCAATCCTGTTTTAATTTAGCAGGATTGAAACCTTTTTTCAACTAACAATTTATGCCTTTAAAGCCATTAATTTCCTTTGAGACTAATTTAACTCATCTGAAGAGTCCTTCCAAATGGACTTCCCGTACTCTATATTTCTTTCCTTTTATTCCAGCAACTGTCAGTATTCAGCCTGCAAGTTGCTACAAGTCATTTTACAAGACAAAATAGTTAGGTATACAAATGAAAGTCTAGAAAAAGGGAAAAGAAACAGAAGTGACTAAGCATGAAAAGAGAAAATATCTAACATTGTAAAGAAGGCAAGAAAAAAAAAACCAGGAATGTTGGTGAAGACCATGTCATCAAAGAAATGACTACAGTATAATCTCTCTTTTCCAGTACAATGTCTCAGTATTCCTCATGTTGTGTTTCTATCACTGATCTCCAAACACACTGTTACTGCTATTGTGAATCACCTTAAGCCCAGTTCAAATGATTTATATGTGTCTATTCTTACCAACTGAAAGTTTTATCATCAGTTTTCATTGAAGTCTAGAAGGAGTGTCACAAAATGTTTACAAATGTTTATTTAGCTTGACCTGAAGAGTTTTATGTTACAGGTTGCAAGAGCCACTGGGTGTAGGATTCTCTGATAAAAATCAATAATGTCTGACCAGGCGTGGTGGCTCACACCTACAATCCCAGCACTCTGAGAGCCTGAGGCAAGAGGATTGCTTGAACCCAGGAGTTCAAGCAACCTGAGTAACATAGCAAGACCTCTCAAGTCCAGCCCATAGTGAGACCTCAACGTTAAAAAAAAAAAATTAGGTATGGTGGCACGTGTCTTTAGTTTCAGCTGCTCAGGACACTGAGGTAGACAGGTTACCTGAGCCCAGCAGGTGGAGTGTGCAGTGAGCCATGATTGTGCCACTGAACTCCAATCTGGGCAACAGAGTGAGACCCCTCCCACCCACTACCGACTCAAAAAAAAAAAAAAAAAAATCAGAAATGTCCTCTGTATTGGTTCACTTTTTCCTAAAACAGCATAGCCACATTTTCATATAAGAAGCATTGATTTGACAGTTATTGTGTGCTTATTCTAAAGAGTAAATGATATAAAGAAGTGCCAATGCCTATCATATAATGAGAGCTCAATGACTGAGAGTACCTATGATTTTTTCATAAACTTTTTATCTTTTTGTTTTTTAAAAGTGAAGTTTAAAAAAGTACATAACAAAATTTACTATCGTAACCATTTCTAAGTGTACAGTTATTTAGTGTTAGAAACGAGATCTGACAGGTTAGTTCATGAACTTGCCACCATGCACTTACATTGGCAGCAATACACAAACAACTCATAAGGTTTCATAGCCTTGGTATATCAGTGTCTCACAGCTGTATTCATGTCAGTGTGTGGTGGTGTTGAGTGGTGTTCATTATTGTTGTTGCATATTTTTGTGTGTCATCACAAGAATGTTGGAGCTTGAATTAGAGCAACAAACAAATATTAGATTTCTTGTTAAACTTGGCAAGAGTAGAAATCAGGGACATGTTAGTACAAGTTTATGGGAATAATGCCATGAAGAAAATGGCAATGTACAAATGAATTAAACATTTTTCTGAGGGGACAGAAAGCATCACTGGTAAACACAGGTCAGGATGGCCACTAATGAACAACTGACAAAAACACTGCAAATATTTGTCAAATTGTGCACCAAAATGTTGGGTGACTGTGAGAAGCATAGCAGACATCAACTGAGAAACAAGAAAATCTCAATTGAAAATCTTGGCATGAGAAAGGTGTGTGCAAAAATGGTCCTGAAGGTGCTCTTGCATCATGACGATATACCACCTCACACAGCACAGTCTGTGAGGGAGTTTTTAGCCAGTAAGCAAACAAGTGTATTGGAACACACTACCTATTCACCTGATCTGGCCTCTAATGACTTTTTTCTTTACCCAAAGACAAATGAAATATTGAAAAGATGACATTTTTATGATATTCAGGACATCAAGGGTAATACAAAGATAGCTCTGATGGCCATTCCAGAAAAAAGAGTTCCAAAATTGCTTTGATGGATGGACTAGGCACTGACATCAGTGCATATCTTCCCAAAAGAAGACTTTGAAAGTGACCACAGTAATAGTCAACAATGAGATATTTAGCACTTTTTCTAGGATGAGTTCAGAAACTTAATTCTCAGACAGTGTATAGTCACATTATTATGCAACAAATTTCCAGCATTCTTTCACCTTGCAAAACTGAAACTCTACATCCATTAAACAACTCGCCATTTCTCCCTCCTCCAGCTCTTCGCAATCACCATTCTACCTTCTGTTTCTATGAATTTTACCTGTCTAGGTACCTCTGTACTTCTCTAGGTATAAATAAAATCATATAGTGTTTGTCCTTTTTGTGACTGGCTTATTTCACTTGACATAATGTCCTCAAGGTACAGCATTTGTCAAAATTTTCTTCCTGTTTAAGACTGAATAATAATTCAGTGTACAGTATAACAGTGTACACTTCACTTATCTATTTTTACACATTTTACTTATCTATTAATATTTTGATGGACACTTAGGTTGCTTCTACTTCTTGACTATTATAAATAGTTCTTCTATGAACATTGGTGTGAGATATCTCTTTGAGATCCTGTTTTCTATTCTTTTGGATACATAACTAAAAGGGGAATTTCTAAATTATATATTCTATTTTTTATTTTTTTGAGGAACCATCATACCGTTTTCCACAATGACTGTATCATTTTACATTCCCAGTGCACAAGTGTTTCTACTTCTCCACATCCTCACAAATACTTGTTTGTTTTTTTCATTGTAGCCATCTTAATGGATGTGACATGGTATCCCACTATGATTTTGGTTTGCATTTCCATAGTGATTAATGATGTTAACATTTTAAAATATATTTGTTGACCATTATTATATTCTTTTTAAAAAAATAGGTTTAAAAAATCATTTAAATATCTAGAAAGTAAGAAAATGAGGTGAGGATGGGGCAGGGACAACTAGTATTTGCAGACTCTGCTGACCTAGCAACCCCACTTTTAGAAACTTATCTGATAGAAACAAAAGAATATATATATATTTAAGGAATTATAATAGCAAAATATCTTGAAACAAGGTGAATGTTCATCAATAGTACAAAAATTAAGTTATTATACATCCATATTATAGATAATATGCTGCTATTGAAGAATGAACCTGGTATGTATGTACAGATGTGGATATATATTAATGAGCTTATAGACCATCTCATTTATAACAGTAAATGAAAAAATATGTTTGTGCATATTGTTGAAACAGAAAAAAATGTGCAAAATTTTTTTTGTAAAAAATAAAAAATGTAGAAGACTGCCTATTAACTTTCACGTTGAATACTTGGTGGGGAGATTATTAATTTTTTAAACTCTCTCCTCCCACAAATTAACTTATTTCAATAACAAAAATTGTTTTATATATAATTTTTTAACAAAAGAAAAAAAGTGTTTTGTTTTGTTACAAAAAAGTAAAACAAGTATAAATAGTATAGCAGGACTCTTTAGATCACAGTGACTAAATTATCCCCGCTGAAAGAAAGTGGCCCTCTAGTTGCCCCAGGATCACCTGTTGAGATAGACCAGATATGGACCAGGGAGTTGGAAAAGATAAAAAGTGAGAAAATCTGGAAAAGAATATAGAAACAGAAAACAAGGATCTAACTAACAGAGACATGAAGATTTGTTCAGAGCTTGACAGTTTCAAAAAATGCTTTCACATACATAATCTCATTTAATACTCACAGTAAGGAGAGGTAAGTCAGGTGTGATTAACTTTGTTTTTCATTTGAGGAAAAGAAGGTCCAGAGACCCTATGCATATGATCTAGCCCAGGTTATACAACTTAGAAGTGAGCAACCCTCCTGATTCCAAGTTGAAATCACTCTTCTGATTCCAAGTTTAGGAGATAAACTCATGATGCTAATAGCTAGAAGCAGATGAGGAAGCTGCAATAATCTCAGCAACAAATGCAAAAGGTCCCAGATCTGACTGTGGCAACACACAAGAAAAGACAAAGCTACCATGAGACAAGTGATGGCTGGTCCATTGCTATAAAACAGAAAATAAGAAGGGGACAAATGCTTTCCTAAGCAAATAAACATTTTTCGATCAATAGGAAAGGTATCCTCCCCTTAAGCATGTTTACACTTTACAAATATATCAGATAATGGACTTGTAAGAGAATATATAAAGAACTTTCCAAACTCAACAATAAGCCTTTCAACTGGAAACACCTTCTTTCAGTAATTCACCAAAATGATGAACACAAAGGGAAAGAGGAGAAGCATCTGATACATGTTTCTAAGCCTATTAGAAAACATAGAGTTGCTCCTATGGCCATATATATGTGAATCTACAATAAAGGTGATAATGTAGATATCAAGGGACTAGGTACTTTTCAAAAAAAATGCCCCACAAATGTTACCATGGCAAAACTGTAGGGGTCTATGATGTTACCCAGCATACTATTAGCATTGTTATAAAGAAACAAGGGCAAGATCCTTGCCAAGAGTATTAATGTGAATATTGAGCATCTTAAGCCAAGATAGCTTCCTGAAATGCATGCAGGAAAATTATCAGAAAAAGAAGGAAATCAAAGAGAAAAGTACCTGGATTCAATTGCGGCACCAGTCTGCTCCACCTAGAGCATACTTTGTGAGAACCAATTGAAAGGAGCCTGAGCTGCTGTGAATTACACCTATTTCCTGTGAATTCTTGGCAAAATAGGTGAAAGGATAAATAAGATTGATGGAC